ATGAACTAATACTATTTCTGAAATTCAATAATCAAATAACCATAATTAGGAAATAATAAGGAAACATCCAAAATGAGTATGTTGGTCAAAAGTCATTTTGTTCAGTTTCACCTCTGAATTCTTTCGATGCATAGTTTTATAGATTTTTTTAAATTTTCGCATTTATTTGCAAGTTGCATAAATCATCCTCGTCTTTTTCCTCCAATTTAGCTGTGAGTTAATAAATGGATCCATGAATTAACATATTGAACTTTTAAATGATCAGAGAAACTATAACACTTTTTTTATCTGGCAGAGAAAAAATGAGAAAATTATAACAGGTTTTTGCGTCGTGTTAATTGAGTTTAACTTCTCTGTACTAATTGTATAAAGAATTTTATATTATCAGGTCACATAATAGGTAATAAAAATAATTAGTAACTTGAAAATGAGATATGTCATACACTAAAATAAGTTAAAATTAATATACTGATAGTGTACGACATTTTGTATACCCTATCATTGTATACAACTAGTTCGCGTAAATTAGAGGTGTCAATGGTTCGGTTCGGCCGGTTATTTTATAAAATTTGTATCATACCAATTTTTCGGTTATTCTATTATGTATAACCAAAATTAGACTTTTCGAAACCGGCCCAATCATGTCGGTTTCACTTCAATATCGGTATCGGTACGGTTCGGTTAATTTTCGGTATTATTTTAAATGTCATGTAAAATTCACCAGTAGAAGTAGTTAGTTATAACATACGTTCTATTATAGCACTTAGTAAAACTCTTTAGATATTTTTACTGTTTAAAGGGTGATGAATTAAAAAAAAAACATGAAAGATGACTAGAGTATCCATCAACTATTCGACAGTAACGTAAAAGAAACCAAGTAAAAGCAAAGAAAATATAAATCACACGAGTGGAAAGATATTAACCAAGCTGGGACTCAAGAATAAAGTCTATATTAATTATTCAAAAAGATAAATCTAAATTATAAAGGAAACATATTCAATATGTTGCAGTTTGCTACTCATAATCGCTAGAATACTTTGTGTCTTGCTAACAAAGATACTTGAAATAACTTAGTTTAAGTATAAGTAGCATATAGGTTTTAGGAATTAGTATTTTGATTTTAATTACTTGTTGGCTTGTAACAGTTTTCATAATTTCAAGGCCAATAAAAAATTTAATGCTTTATTAGTTTTAAACTTACTCTATAAATATATTTTTCACATGTAAAATTTATTCGGTACGGTTCGGTATTTTTCGATTTATTTTTATAAAATAAAAAATCTACCCTAATTATCGGTACGGTTATAGTTTTATATAAAAACCTACGGTTTTTTTAAAAGAAACCTAAAAATCGGTTTGGTGCGGTACGGTTCGGTTGGTTTAGTCGATTTTCAAATATCCATTAACATCCCAACGTAAAAACTAACCGTAAGTAAACATTTTCTGTTAGGAATTCTAAGCAAAAATATCAACCCGAAAAGAAGAAAAAAAAACTCCTATCATAAATTTTTTGACTAATTGAAGGTTAAATGTATTCGCTCACATATTGCAATGATCAGAATAAAAATTTAGCTAATTGGGCCAAAAACTCAACTCATCTCTAGCAATATTTGCAATTATAATTTAGAAAATATCTTTGTGACATCAAGATTAGAGCACTTGGTCCCGTAGCTCAGTTGGTTAGAGCGTTGGTCTTATGAGCCGAAGGTCGCGGGTTCGAGCCCCGCCGGGACCAATTCTGGGAATTGATGTGTGTTTCAGTTTTACCTTTCTTCATTTAGGGTACGTACTTTAGTTTTTTTTTTTTTGCTGGACAGAATTGAGTTAAATCATATCTTTTGTCCAAAGATGCAATTCATTTAAAAATTAATTCCAAACCTATAAATCAATCAATTTTTTTTTTTCATAGATACTCAACTAAGGAAACCTTTAGCAAAAAAATTTAATGACAAATACTAGTTCCATATCTTTATAGCTAATCAACATAACCAGGGGCGGCTCTAAAGGCTTGGATAGTGAGGACTGAAGACATTGCCTTAGGCCCTCAAAATTTGAAGGCCCCAAATAGGAGTGACAAACGGGCGGGTCGGGTCAGATATGGTTCGGGTCGAAAACGGTAATGAAAAAACGGATAAATTATTCGATGCGACTTATATTTAAAACGGATAAAAAAGGGGTTAACCGGCGGATAATATGGGTAACCATATTATCCATGATTTCTTGTATATGCTCACTTTTGGGAGAATTCTTAGTCTCCTAACTTGAGGAACCCCCAAGTTAAGACTTTACAAATGTAAAAGTTAGACCCATTGTTATCCATTTTCTAAATGGATAATATGGTTCTTATCCATATTTGACCCGTTTTTAAAAAGTTCACTATCCAACCCATTTTTTAGTAAATAATATGGGTGGTTAACTATTTTTTTAAAACCATTTTGCTACCCCTAGCCCCAAATTTACTTAATCTCTTATTATTATGACTACTATATACTATAAAATTTATATGAACAATTAGTTTAAAGAAAAGTGTTATAGTATATTTGGGTTAATCGGCGGATAACATGGGTAACCATATTATCCATGACTTCTTGTATATGCTCACTTTTGGGAGAATTCTTAGCCTCCTAACTCGAGGAACCTCCAAGTTGAGACTTTACAAATGTAAAAGTTAGACCCATTGGTTATCCATTTTCTAAATGGATAATATGGTTCTTATCCATATTTGACCCGTTTTTAAAAAGTTCATTATCGAACCCATTTTTTAGTAGATAATATGGGTGGTTAACTATTTTTTTAACATTTTGCCACCCCTAGCCCCAAATTTACTTAATCTCTTATTATTATGACTACTATATACTATAAAATTTATATAAACAATTATTTTAAAGAAAAGTGTTATAGTATATTTTTTGTTATTTGATTGAAGTTATTTATACCAATAAGTTCATAAATTATGATAGTTTTCTCACTCATTAATTAGTATATTTTCTTCACTTTTCAATTTTAATTTTATCCTTTTTATATAGGAATTCAGATATATATCAACAACATAATGAATTTCTTTTACAATCTTCTTTGAAACTGCATGAACACAAAAGCATTCATTCACCGATTTTCTTTTAGTGTAATTCAACATATTATATTAGGTTATCTACAATTAATTTTAGATATTCACCAATAAGTGCTACTAATTTATAGAATGAACTACAATTATCGTTTAAATTGATCAGAATAAGTAAATATTTTTGACACAGTCAATACTCAAAACTTAAGTTATTACGTTATATACGTTTATTTCTTTTTCTTGATTGTGATGATAGCCAAATCCATCACTTTATTCTTTGTGCTTTTCTTCCTTTTTTTTTTTTTTGCAATTCGCTATTTTTTGTCTTAAATGATTAATTTTATTATATAGAAAGCAAATTTTATTGTTAGTGTAAAAATTTTATAAAATAAATGTAAGAGCTTCTCAATTTGATTTCGCCTTAGGTCACAAGATTTGTCGAGCCGCCCCTGAACATAACAACAACAACATCCCAGTATAATCCCACAAGTGGGGTCTGGAGAGGGTAGTATGTACGCAGACCTTATCCTTACCCTAGGGTAGAAAGGCTGTTTCCGATAGACCCTCGGCACAAGAAGATGAAATGTGACAATAGAATAATAACAACATAACTAGAAAGATAGTATCAACGAGCTAAGAATCAGAAAATATACCTGGAAAAGCAATATCAATAATCAGTGCAGTGACAAGGTCCTAGAAGATAGTACGAGCATAACATGTACCACTAGCACACTAAAACACGACACTGACTTACACACAGAACGGAGTAGAAAAATGCTCACTATCTACTAACCTACAACCCTAATGCTCTCGCTTCATACCTTCCTATCAAGGGCCATGCCCTCGGTGAGCTGGAGCCGCGCCATGTCCTGCTTGATCACCTCTCTCCAATACTTCTTTGTCCGCCCTCTACCTCTTCTCATATTTGTCAGAGCCAATCGCTCGTACCTCCTAACCGGGGCATCTACACTTCTCCTCCGCACGTGAACAAGATAAATTGATTGACTATTCAAGAAATTATAGGCAAAGACCTGCTCCTACAGCGGTTCGAGATGGGGCTCTATATCGATGTGCAATCTATTTCTCTAACTGACTAATTTATGACTTACTAGTCTTAGTGTAGGCCATATTCCTCGTATTAATGAGAATAAACTTTTAAAAATAACGTGAATATTTTTCAGAAAATATGTTTGTATCATGATATGAAAGCTAACATAAAATTACAAGTCGTAAAATAATAATTATGTTAATCATGTTTATGGTTTGATCCACTCTAGTGGATCTTCCTTCAGTTTGTTCTAACTTGTTTCATGGTACAAACGTGTCATAGGAGTAACATATAATTGAAAGATTAAAATATATTTTGTGTCTACTGTCTTGGAAGTTCTAAATTATAACAATTTTATTAACAAAAAAAGACTCCTAACCCTAAAAGGAAGTTCAACACCTAATTTTCATGTGATATAACTTAGGAAGGATTTAATATACAAAATTTAGAAAAATTTTGAAATTCTAAATATTAGGGAAATAATTAAATAATTATTTCTAAAAATTATGAAAATAATAAAATAACTATTTTATTCAGTGTGAAATTAATTTTTAATAAGGAGATTCGTGCTTTTATTATAACGTAGAATAGATATAGAATGGGAAAAAAATAGATAAATGGGCATTAGAAGAGTGGAATTTCGTTTAAGTGTTTTTAAAATTATTTGTTCTTATTATTTTATCTGGTCGTGTAGGCATTGATCTTGATGGAAATTGATTGGACTAGAGCACCTACATTGTGAAAAAATGTGGCAACCTTCTACCAAATTGACTGCTGAACTTTCAAAAAGATCACACGCCACCCTTCCTCCTCCACCTTAAATCTTAATTCTTTCTAGTTGGGATGTCAGTTTTTTTAGTGGCACAAGTACATTGCATTTCTTTCAATTTCTATATCTTTCTTTCTTTTTAGATTAAAGATTAAAAAAGAAAAGAAAACTAAAGATTACCTACCTCCTTTTTAATTATTTCAGTGCTACCACAAGAAGTTCATAATCAAAATTACATGTTTATAAGTTCTCAGGTATGAAGGTCTGCGATATGATCTAAATTTTGATTATTCAATACCATGGGTTCAGGTTTTTGTTTGAAAACAATTATAGGGCGAAAGAGGAACAAAGGGCGTAAATCCAAACAACTCAAGGTACATTTCTCTCTATTCACTTAATTGCAGTATATAAACTACGCCTCGGTACCAAACAATTGTATTATATAAAACCGAAAAACAAAAGAGAATATATATTGGAATTGAGCAAATGTAGCAGCAGAATATCCTGAATCAAACTGTTTCTCTTTGTCCCATTTGGTTGAATCTTAGATATGAAAATAAGCCTTTTGTCTCATTGACATATTACTAATAATCTTTAAGCCCTTTTATTATAATTTGACTTTAGGTCATCAATTTTATTGAGTCGCGCTTCGAACAAATATGAGGGTAAATTTGCATAATAAGAGTTAAGAAATTTCAGGGTAGTAACGCATCGGATGAGCCAAAGGGAGAAATTTCTAGTGGTAAAGACACCGGTGCTCATTATTCAAATGGAAATTCTTCAAAAAGGATTTCTCGTAAAATTAAGTTCACTGAGAGTACTGCCGCCACCAGAATTCAGACTGCGTTCAGAGCTCATTTGGTAACTACTACTATCTCAAGTGATAAATGTATATATAAAAAAACGCATGCGCATTTTATATTCATTGATTTAGTATAAATACTTTTTTTTTTCAACAGGTCCAATTTCCTAGTCCTAACTACTTGTTATAATGCAATGTGTAGGCAAGAAAAGCTCTACGTCGTGTAAGAGGCGCTTTGAGATTTCAAGGTGTAATTGAGGGTCTAAGTGTAAATAACCAAATAGTAGGGACTTTGAAACAAATACACTGTTGGAGCAAAATACAGTCCGAGATCAGAGCTCGGCGACTGAGTATGGTAACTCAAGGCCGGAATATGCAGAAGAAAATTCAAAATCAGCAAAAACTCGACGCTAAGCTTCATGAGCTTGAGGTACCTACCTTACCATTCATCAATTTTCTCACCTTGTCTTGGCTCAATGATAGTAAGAATCAGGCGCGGAGCCAAAATATTGAGTTTATGGGTTATGAATTCTAAAAAAAACATCTTATTGGGTTATGAATAAATTATTTATGCATCTTAAGTGAGTTTTTTTTTTAAATGCAAATATATGATCTGGATCGTAGCTACTTAATTCTGTCGAACTCATACGTAGAACCCTAGCTCCGCCCCCCATAAGACTTGTCATTGTGTAACTAAGTAAGTCACAAGTTCAAGTTATAGAAATAATTTCTCCTAAAAATGTGAGGTAAAACCGTATACAATAGGCCTAATATGGTCCGTAAGTTTAGTAGACAGCGCTGCCTTTTCTCACTCGTGCCTCTATTAAAAAAAATATCATTAATGTGTTTGTATTGTAGCTTTTGAAATTATTTTTTAAAATTTGCATTGATGTGTTTGTATAGTAGTAGTTTTTATAAAGATTGGTAATTTCTGAGTGTCTTTTGATTTTTTATAAAAAGAGTTTTTGCGTGAAGAACAACTTCTACTTAACGACTTCTTTAGCTTCAATTTTTCTTTTTTCAAACTTTAGCAAAAGAATGTTTCGAAATTTTAAACTTAAAACCATTTCCAAAAATTAACTTCATTTTTGGGGGGACAATTGAACAAACAAACTCTAATTATTCTATTGTCCCATTTAAAGAACGAAAAGACAGCGTATACTGTACAACCACACGAACAAAATAAAATAACATCACTACAATAATTGACGTGGTTGCACAATGCCTATGAGCTATATCAATCACTGACCTTAAATTATGTTGGCTGCTTCTTATGAAGCTTACATGGTTTCCCTTGGATTTTTCTGGGGTAGTTCTTTTCCTTTTGTTTTTTTATTTTTTATATTATGTATTCTCCCTTTTTCTAGAATATGATTGTTAACTACGCAGATGGTTTAAACCTATTTAGATTTTTAAAAGGCATCATATTCCCAAGGATCTTTCTATTTATTTATTGAATGGACTGATACATGTGAAGATATTATTGTAATAAAGGGTGAAGTAAGATACAAATTAAAATTTCCAAAAGTTTCAATATCATGTTAAATTATGTTACTCCCTATATACCACTTGTGGGATTACACTGGATATGTTATTACTATCAGGGTCGACTCCAATGCATTCCCGGGTAAGGCTTGTACCTTAGGCCCCCAATTTTGAATGGCCCCGTTTTTTTAGAAATAATCTATATTATCCATGTATATAGGTATTTAAAAAAAAAATTATATTTTGTTATGGAAGTTGGAACACACCAGGATATTTTCCGGGTGTAGCTACTCATTATTTGAAATTCATTAGTGTGACTAATTCGAATTCGCGCAAAACATGCCGAGCAAGAGGGAAATGTGCTACATATCAAGATGTTCTTTATTCAAAAAGCTCAAATCCAAGATCTTTGGTTAACGAGCGAGATAGTCACTTAACTTTTGCTTTGATTAACAGGTGGAATGGAGCAGTGGTGCTGAAACAATGGAAGAAATAATCCAGAAGTTACAACAAAGAGAAGAAGCTGCAATTAAAAGGGAGAGGGCAATGGCTTATGCTTTTTCTCATCAGGCAAGTTAGCTATGACAATGACAATTGATTGCTGATGTAGGTTAATTTGTCTGAATCACATTATATTTTGTGTCTGCATAGTATATTTTTCTTTTATCGTCGGTCAGAATCCACTTTTTTAACTTCTAGCTTCCTCACATAACACTATGCATGTTTTAGTGGAGAGCCAATTCAAACCGATATTTTGGACAAGCATATTATGATCTTGGCAAGGATAGCTGGGGTTGGAGTTGGATGGAGCGTTGGATCGCAATTAGACCATGGGAGACCAGAGTTCAAAACTCCGTAAATCCAAAAATCTCTCACTCCCACCAAATTTCCAAGATAACTAAAACTACAAATTTGGGACCTATGAAACTAGTTGTCTCTGTTAAAAATCCATCCATTTCAAAAGGAAGAAAGTTGTCCATCTCTGTTCCTGAGAATCAAGCTTCCCAAGAAGCTGACATTTGATTGGCCAACTCAACTTATACTTGAAAAATATTACCTTTTTAGGTACCAAATCCACATAATATAACCCTACCAATATGTTGTCAAATTGACATTTTTATTCTTTTGCTTTGTTTATTTAGTGTGATTCTGGAATTGTGCCTTGAATTTTTTATAAGATACAAGTGGTGTAAATGATGTACTTGGTGATGGAAACTTTTTGTTTTATGTTATTCGTTTTTTGATTGAATGTATTATAATATTTTTTATGTGATGCACGAACGGTAGAAGGGTCAAGTCAACTATGAAATGATAGCTTTCTTTGCATTATTTTAGTTCTGTACGATTTCTTCATTATAGAAACATAAACACAGTAAGCTCCAACTAATGACTCAATTATACAAGCATTAGTTCTGTTTCTCAATTGTCAATTTTGATACCAACAAATAAATGACATCCCATGCATTTCCACCACAATAACAATCATTGTTATCAACAACTAGGGAGGTATGATAGGGTAGCTACTGTCCAATTGTTGTCAATTTATATCACTTGTATTCAGATGCGCAATGAATACAACTTGTGTCAACTATACTCATTCGTGCAGCAAACACAACCTGTAACAACTTTATTCGTTCTCGCGAAGAATACAACCACGACGAAATACAAGGGTGTATACATAGGATACAACTTGTATCGACTATATACACAGATGTATACAAAGGATATAACATGTATCGACCGTATTCGTTGATTAGTCAGACCAGTAAGTTACCAACAAATCTAAGCCCAATATGTCCAAATTTGAAAACCGAAACAACAAAGTTTTTGATTATTGAAAAAATAAATCTAAGCATCATTGTTGCCTATTTGAATAATAACTTATCAATCATAAAGAAGCGACAGCAACCATTATGCAATGGTCGCTATCTTGATAGAAGCCATGAGTTTTAAGTGATTTTATTATTGCTGTAAAAAGGAGTAAACAGACAAACAAACAAAAAGAAGAGGCATGACATCCAGCTAGACAGATTTATATGACAGTAATGAGCTGTGCAGGGTAAGGGGGCCACTAATTCATTGCCCAAGTACCATACTTTGGTGGTATCTGCCTCTGTATTTTTTCCATTATTCAGCTTATGTTTCATCTTTTGTAGAAATTGATGATTTGGGTCCCTTTACTGTTGAACTCTAGCTAGCCCCACTTAGTTTTACCTTCAAGAATGGTAACTCTTACTCGTACAGATATTGAATAACTCTGTCCACCAAAACTTAAGCAGATAGAAGAAACTATCAAGTTCTTTTTCATCTCTATTGAGATTTTGTAACCTATAAGTTTTGAGTTCGAGTCGTGAAACACAGCCACTAATGCTTACATTATGGTAGGCTGTTTACATCTCATCCCTTTGGGAGCGGCTTTTCCCTGGACCCTGCGTAAATGCGAGATGCCTTGTGCACCGGGTTGCCCTTTCTGTCCACCAAGACTTAAGCAAATAGGAAGAAACTATCAAGTATTTTGTTTCGTCTCTATTGAGATTTTTTGTCTCTGCAGAGATATGGACTTAATCTCTTGGATTTTTGTTTTCACCACACTGACGACTAGGCCATACCTTTAGTTCTACTTTTCTATATTGATTTACTACAAGTCTACAACTTTCTTTCCACGTGCAGTGGTTGATCCCTCAGTATGGTAACTACTATTGGAGCTATGACCAAAGAAAAGGCAGCATGGGGCACGAAACATCTCGTGTTTACATAGTGTCCGAGAAAGGGCCATACATGTTGCTATGACTAATGATTATAAATAAGCCCCTCTATTTCCATGAGAAATGAGTTGACTCTCTAAATATCAGTTAGTAAAACCTTTCAAAGACTTGAGGTTCTGGTTAAGTTGGCTGTCTAAGAAATAGATATACCCTTTCAAGTGTTCTCTTGCTACATAGATCTTTATCAAGAATGCTAAAATAGCTTAAAATAAGTTATTTGAGAAACATAAGCTAGCTATTAGATGCCCCCTTAATTACTTTAACTGTTCATAGAAAATGACTTCACTTTTAATGCTCCCAAAACTCCATGCAATGATAGGGATGTTAAAACATCAAGTACTTTTCAATTCCTTCTACAGACTTAAGAAAGTCATTGAAACATGAACTGTTTTAGAATGTAGCAAAACAATAATCGATCAAAAGAAATCTCTCTCCTTCATCCACTTGAAAAATTGACCCTTTTCCTCTACATATCTGAAAGCATTTCATTCAGCAGCCCGGTGCACAAAGTATCCCGCGTTCACACAGGGTCCGGGGAAGGGTCGCACCCCAAGGGGATGTCATGTAGGCAGCCTACTCTGATGCAAGCATCAGTTGCTAATTCCACGGCTTTAACCCGTGACTTGTCAGACGGAGACAACTTGACCGTTTCTCCAAGGTTCTCCTTCATTCGCATTTCAAAAACTTAAAAGGGCGCAATCAACTCCAGACCAAAGCGATCAAGTTAGCAAGAAAATGCAAAGACCACCATCACATTCAGGAATGCCTTAATCCTCAAAAAGATATTTTATTTAACAGAAAATTACTAGTTCTAGCATGAAAATCTCTAATTCATCAACTGAAGTTAATAAGCCAACAAACAACAACTTGATAAGTCTGGTAAACAGAAATAGGCAATCCTAAACTAGCAGTTGAGCTGAAAAACACACTTATACATGAAAAAGTCTAGAACACAAATCAACTAAGATAGAACATTACACCAAGATTAAAAAACCTGAAACTTACTCAGGATTCTTCTTCCGCGGTGCATTGCCACTGAATCAAACTCGACGACGAACCATTGCCCTTCCTTTGCCATTTCCATTTGAAGTATAGTACTTGTTCCTGCAAATTAATTATGCTCAATGTAACAGTATTTCAAGAAATTTTGTAGAATGCATATGGAATTTGAAATGAGACTTAAAGAGTTGAATGTTGAAGTGATTCACCTGTCAGGCAATCAGAGGGAGAGCATTTCTCGAGCTAATTCAATGGCGAGAATCAGAGGAAGCAGAGGATGGCTTGTCGGAAATGCCATCATGCTCCTCAATTTCACCTTGGATTCGTGCAGGAATACGAAAGCCAGAGAATCCGCCTAATTCTGAGGCAAATCCAATACCAGATATTGATGTTGAATACATAGGTAGCACAGCTTGATGGTGATGAATTGGATCAGCTGTAGCAATAGCAATCGCTGATGGGTCTATCCATGCACGAATCGAAGGTGAGTAACTGGACTGAAGGGGTCCCCTCTGAGAAAAAAACTGATTTTGGCCGAACAACTGTTGTAGCAGTGGCGGGGCAGGAGGCGAGTTAAACAAGTACCCGCCTGCAGCTCCTGCAACTGCCCCGCCACAAAAAGAGATGCCAGTGGAGTCCCCACCGGCACGCGCAGCAGCCAGTCTCTGTTCCACTGGCTGCTGCTGATGCTCAGACACAGACCAGCCTGAAGCATCAAACCCATGTGGGGTGCTTCCATTAAAGAAATTTGATGCTTGAAAATGAGTTTGTTCTTCTTCTGTGTGATTTCTGGGGTTATTATGGTGCTGAGCTTGTTGCTGGTGAAGCAAAATAGGATCTTGAAAAGATTGTAATGAGAGCCTCAAATCTTGACTGTGGCTACTGGTTCTTGCCAGTAAATTGTGTTCTTGAAAGCTCTGGAACTGCATAGCTGAAGAAGAAGTGCTTTCATTTGAACCACCCACAGGGAAAAAAGACTTAATAGTGTCAGCAATGATATCTGAATCTAAAGATTGAGGCAAAAAGCTAGCATTTGCATTGTCACCACTTGAGTTACCACTATTGGTTTGGTGTAAAACTCTAGCCTCACTTTCATTTCCCAGCATTATCATTGCCCTTTTACTTGAAGACCCACCAATATTAACATTAACATCATTTTGTTGGGTGCCAAAGTTTTCTTTTTGCTCCTTCTTTTCTTGATCAAAATTTGCTATAGGACCAGTGGTTGGTTTCCAGGGTGGCAATTCTTCTAACTCATCAATGGCAGCTTGAGCCTTTTTAATGAGCCAATCAACAGCTTTACTAGGACGGTCATAGCCAAGTCGATCTTGAACATCATAGAACTGAATAGCAGTATGAGCAGAGAGGCGTACACGTCGGTCTCTTGGTCCTTTAGCTGTACAGACTTTGCTGTGTCTGTCTTTTCTCCCTATAGACCTAATAATATGCCCACCTTGAACTTCAACAATCTCTCCACCAGTATTTCTCAATCCAAATCTTGATGATGTTCCCATTTTTTCTCCCAGTTTTGCATGTTCAAGATTTTTCTTTTGGGTTGAGGAAGAAGAAGAAATATAAGACCTTTTCTTGGGTTGCTTTGGGTTTTGTGTTTGTTGGGGTTGTTGTTGTTGAGTACTATCTAAGTTTTGATAGAGAAAATGATTATGGTGTAATGAAAATAGTTCATGGGGTTGTTGAAAATGGTTGTGCAAGTGATGATTTGCATGAAAAACTTGTTCTTGATATTGGTGTTTCTCTTCTTCTTCTTCTTCCTCTTCTTGTTCTTGTTCTTCTACATTTTGGTTTTGAAAAGGGTGATACTGATTCTTCCTCTGAGGATCCAGACTCAGAACCTTGTTGTTGTGCTTTTGATGTTCCAGCTTTTGATGTTGTAATCTGTTTTGTGTTACTATTTCTGATTCTTCTTCTGTAGTAAAATCTGATACTGTTGCTGTTGTTGTTGTTGTTGTCTCTCCCAAAAGTCACTGCAGCCATCCAACTTTGCAAATTCCATTACCAGAAAAACAAAACTAGTAGACTCTATAAAAGGGCAAAGGCATCTGTAATTTTAGCCTAACCCATTCTCTTTTTTACAGCTTCTTTAGTTTTCTTTTCTTTAACACACAGCTTTTGATGTCAAAGACTGCAGCTTTCTATGAAATTTTTGTAAGACTGTAATATGTACTTAGCTATAACAGCACAACTATAATGAGAACCCAAAGTTTTTGCTACTCACTTAAAACAAAAACAAACCCGACAGTAATCAATCAAGAGGGGCTAAGAGACAGAGATAGAGACAGAGTGAGTGAATTAAGAGGGGGCCTATGTGCTGTAAGGGACCTTGATATTTTTTTTCCTTATAAACATCATATATGTCTCAAAAATTATTAGTTCGATTAATTTAAATTTACATTGTATAACTATAAGGAGTTATTTGGTAGGGTGTATAAGAATAATGCTGAATAAGGTGTATTAGTAATGCGTGAATTAGTAATGTAAGCATTAGTTATACAGAGATTATTTCTCATCCACTGTTTGGTGTAGTGTATATTAAAAATTAAGATGCATTGCATAAATTTTAAGAATACTAGTTGTTTACAAAAATGTCATCCATACTCTTTAGCTTTAAGGGACTTTAAGGACAATTTTATCTTTAACCATACTAATGCATGTATTAATAGCCTTGATATTGCTAATACTATGGTTTGCTATGTATTATTATACATAGTATGATATCAAATAGGTTGTATAACTATTAACTTGTGCTTGTGTTAGTAATACATAGGTTGAAATAGTGTACAAAACAAGAAATTAGTAATATCAAAAACTAATATATACATTGTTTTCTCTAATGCACCCTACCAAACGACCCCTAAAGTTGATTAAAAGAGAAAATATTTCAAATTAATAAGAATTTCTTCTTTGTCAAAAACCGACCATTTCACCACTTGGTAAGTAAGAGCCTATGATGCCACTGCTGAGAGAGTGGCAGTATTTGGTCAGAAACAAAGATTAAAGGCCTTTAAGACCTCATCATCACTGTCATATCTCTGTCTATCTTTATGCTGCAGCTGCTGCTTTTTACTTTTGTACAGCCCACAAAGCACAATTCACAAATCCAAAGACTCTTTTACCTTTTTCCGTTCAGCCACAACTAACCTAGTTCAAATTTCACTATTAATTTTCTCCTTTTTTATGTTTAAGCATTTGTAATTAACACAACTTACTGGTTCGATTAACTTGGATAAATGGCAAGTAGGTCCACTAAAGGGATAAAACACCTATCAAGAAATTTTACGTTCCCTATCTGAAACTCGAAACATCTGATTAAACGTAATGACACTCGTTGGCGGTACTTTAGTTCTTTCTTTCTCCTACTAATATCACTCTTGTCCCACTTGATGTTAGCTGTCCAAAGATTTGTCTGGTTTAGTATGTGTTTGATTACGAGCCGGAAATGGTATGCTTTAAATCTTTCTTTTTTGAAAATGACCCCTTAAAACTTTGTGATTTTTTTTCTATATTACATTCTTTTCTTCTCCCTCCTTTATTGCTTTACTTAAAATAAACAAATAACATCCTTCAAATTTCCGCATCCAATTGTTGTTCATGCATGGCATCTCTTGATCCTGTCTTTTTCTTTATGTTTTTCTTTAGAAGGACAAAAAAAAACTACCTCAGAAAATTGTTAAAAATAAGAAAAGTCAACTATACTCCGAGTCGGTTGGGTGCTAGCTCAAGTCACTTATTGAGCTTCCTGTCTTCCCACAAATGAGATGGATAAATCAAATTCATTAGTAGTAGCGGCGGCTCAATAAGTTTGGTGGCCTAAAGCCAAATTTTAATGTGAGGCCCTTTTAAAAAAAATCATATATATTTTTAGTTGAATGTAGATTTTTCTAGCTTTTTTAAAACAAAATTACTTAAAAATTTTCGCATAAATCATTTAATCTCTCATGTGCAGTATGGATCTTAAATAATATAACTTGACTCAAGAAGTTGATAACTTTGTATTAAAAGGATTTTTTGATGTTTCAATATACTTAATGCAATGATGAAAATCTGAGGAAAAAAATAGAGTTTAAAAGTGTATTACATATTTTCTAATGATTAATGTAATCCTTTTTTTTATATAAAATATTTTACTTTTCTACTTTGAAATACTTAATATTTTCTTAGAAATATTTGGGGCCTCACGAGAAGAGTTGTGGCGGGATGGATAGCATATCTCCTTCTTTAACTTGAAGTATTTCGGTTTCAGTAATTGGAATGAAAAAAATCCCTTCTAAGAAACAGTTCCCACTTTAATGGACTTTACATGGCGAATTCGAATTAATCAATGCTTCAAATTATGTACCGGACATCAAATAGGAATTGAAAATTGGGTCCCCCAAAGTTTTAGGGCAAAGCCACCGCTTTAGTGGCTTTACCCTCTGGCCGCCCCTGATTAGTAGTATAGCATCCCTTTACCCTCTCCTAGAGGCGGCTTAAACCCTAGACCACTCAAGCGATCGCTTTAGGCCTCACAAAATTAGAGGACCCAAAAACTAATCTTCTTATATTGTATTTGTTAATTGGTTTTTTTTTAGTCGATTGAGAACATTATAATGAAAGTGAATAGCAATTAAATCTGCACTTACTTTCTAGTTTTTCTCATTCCAACTTGAACAAATTTTATGTACAACTGTAACTTTATAAAATATAACTTTATGTACAATTACTCTCGTAGCCTTCTCTCGAAGTACTACTCGCCTATTCAAAATAGATTAACGCCTATATTCCTATGAAATCAATCTATTAAGAACGCATTAAGATTACGATATTTAATTAAGTACAGTGACTTGGTATATTCCTATCCTAACCACAAATCTGTCCCCCTCAGAGTTAAGATCGCGCTCTCTTCAATTCTTCTCTAATCTAAACATGACTTTCCCAAGCATAGCATAGATAGTAAATAGAATCTAAATGCTGGCCAGACAATTAACCAATTAATCACAGAATTGAAAAAATAACCATATATTGGTGAATATATGGCTGGGCACGACTCTGCTACTCTGCTTAGGCTGGGCACTTTCTCTCTTCTTTCTCCCATGAAGTCTAGCATTTTTGCACGCTCTGGGAAGGTCTCCTCTTTCATCTCTGGATCTTTTCTCAATTACTTTTACACATTCAACTTGCAACACCACCTCCTCTAACTAAGTTATACCACCTAGATCACTACAATTCACATAAGGACTTTGCTCTATCCCCTTCAATTCTACTACAGTAATGATGCACAAGTCCTCATAATGCTTAGGGAGCTTAAGTGCCTTGTACAGAATAAAGGTGATTTCCGCATCGTCAACAATCATCTTCATCTTCCCTTCCCTCACATCAATAATCTCTCCACAAGTAGCTAAGAATGGTCGCCCCAACATAGTGGGCACTTCCTCATCTGCCTCGTAATCAAGAACAATAAAATCAGCAGGAAGAATAAACTTTCCCACTTGAACTAACACATCCTCAATAATTCCTTCTGGCATCACTAGTGTCCGAAATCCACGAAACACGAGTAAAACATGAGGCGATATACATATAAATATATATACTTTAAGCTAAATATCAACACCCTACACTTAGACTCTTGCTCGTCCTCGAGCAATGGGACTATCAAATATACCCTAACTACGTGCAAATGTTAACTAGAGAGGAACACTTTAATTTTTTTCCTACACACTACTGTTGACTATGATCGATACCGGCAATCAAGCATGAACATACAAAATTCACATTCTTCCCGTTTTAAACATGCCCAAGTCTTTTATTTCAATTCAATCAATCCAAACAACCTATCTGTAACCACCCTACTTCACGAGCCGACTCGTTACCACTAAGCACCTTCAACTCGCGCACTCACCCAACAAGAGACATTTACAACATTATCAATCCTTCATGAGATCATGTACCCTCACCAACAAACTAAAGAGTGAATATAGAATAGTCCAATTATTCAAGTATTCTTTTGAATATAATTTAAGGATATCACACAATTGAACAAAATTCGCTCACTCTCACAAAGAATTAATGTGCATCCGTGGTCGTACCATAAGCTTGCCCGTAATGTACATCTCTACTATCTAGGATCAGTTAGGACTTTAAGGTTGTAAGTAGGCTAAGGGACGGGTAGGATATATTTAGGAATAATGACTAACCCTTCTAAGCACTTTAATACACTACACTCACAAATCGAGCACATATTCTTCTCAACCAATTCACTCGCCACAAACCATATACAACATAGCCCTTTTTTCCATTAAGCACTTCTATACTCCCACTAGCAGAAATTAGTAAGATTAGGAGGTGTGTGTTCTTCTACATTATTCGACTATTATTTTTTTTCTTGCAATTTGTTTTCCACACACACTCCATAGATTAAGGTTCACCGGCTCCTTTTTTTTTTCCACAACTTTAATGCACCTTAAGGGCCCTTCCATGGATCCACTCGAAAGCTACTCCCCAATTTCACCTTACTTCTTTTAGCGACTAAGTGCCTTAGGAGGTAAAGATTCACCAATCTCAAATTAAGAACAAAATAGGGGTACGACTTGTAATGTGGGTGCCAAGGAAAAGGTCTATAGGTGACTGGCAACGAAAATTTTTATTTTTATGTGACAAGTCACTGCTAGAAATTCGGTAATTAGCGACCAAAAAAATCGACCAACTTTGATCGATTATAGTCAATTACCGACCAAAATGCGACCAAATGCGCTTGGACGGTATTTTGGTGGTTGCTTTAGTATACCGACCAAAGTTGGTCGGAAATTACAAACCAACGTTGGTCGGTAAATTAAATTCAAAAAAAATTGCAAAAAAAAATCGACCAAAGTTGGTCGGTATTTTAATTATGTAATCAAAAGATTCACCATCTGGGCATCGAACCGGGGTATGTACTGTGGCAGGATACTATTCTACCACTAGACCATTGGTGCATTTTATTTTAAGATTGTCTTTTTATTTATTTATATTCTTTAATTGTATTTTCGCACGAAAATAACCGACCAAAGTTGGTCGGTTTCTTGAAAAATAAATTTTGCGGGACTCAAAAATAGTTTCCCGCATTTTTGCGCCAGAGAAAACCGATCAAAGTTGGTCGGTTTCGTAAAAAAAATTAAAAATTAAAATATTATAAAAAACCGACCAACTTTGGTCGATTTTTGGACGGTTTTTTTGCCGACCAAAGTTGGTCGGTTTTTGCCGAATTTCTAGTAGTGAGCACATCTATGATCAAGCAAGAAGCGCCTACGTCATCTCCTAGACTAGCACAACTTAGTGATATCGCTTCGATTAACACACGGGGCAAGTTCTAAACTACATAGGATAGCACAGAAAATTACAAATCCTCACACACACATTGCACATGACTCAATCAAGACGGTTCTGTTCAACTCTCAAGTCAAGCAAGCACATATAGTTGAGAAATTTAAGCAATAATGCACTATGTAGCATACAAGTCAAACAACTGAGAAAAGACGTCACAGAGTAGGCTATTTATTTTACTCAGGCATCACAATTCAAATCAAATGTACGGGAAGACAAAGCGCATGCCATAGTCTAATGTGCCAGCACCAAACATTTCAATAGGTATCTTAGAGCAACTTAATTTCTTCCTAACCTACTCCTAAAAAAAAATAAAGTACCCGGTTCGAGCTTCACCCTCGTAAAAGAACCGGCGCCCAAGAAAAACCAAGGGATACTACCTAACTATCCTAAAAAAAAATCTTTTTGGTGTTTTTTAATCGGACTTTAATCCCTCAAGAAAATAGTCCAAAAGATCCATCGTCGGGAAAAGTCCGAGCTTTTTCTAATTTTTTTTTTGAGAACCTAGACTATGTCTACTACGAGTTCTAAAAGAAAAACTAATTAAAAAAACAGTTTTGTACAATTACACTTCAAAAAGTAGCCTCCCCACTCCACACTTATTTTATGCATAGTCCTCGATGCATGATCACAGAGAAAAATATTAAAACAAGGGTGAGAAATACTCCTTGAGACCCTCTCGGGCCTAGCTCGGACATGATCCTCAATATTAAGGGTCGGGACGACCCTACACTTAAGCTCAAACATGCTCCTAAGCTTCAACTTTGGGTACTCAGACTTCCCATACTCTGCAACTCTGCTCAGGCTGGGCACTTTCTCTTCTTCTTCTCCCATGAAGTCTAGCATTTTTGCACGCTCTCGGAAGGTCTTCTCTTTCATCTCTGGCTCTTTTCTAAATTACTTTTACACACTCAGCTTGCAACACCACCTCCTCTAACTCAGTTGTCCCATCTGGATCACTGCAATTCACATAAGGACTCTGCTCTATCCCCTTCAATTCTACCACAGTAATCATGCACAAGTCCTCATAATGCTTAGGGAGCTTAAGTGCCTTGTACAGAATAAAGGTGATTTCCTCATCGTCAACTCTCATCTTCAACTTCCCTTCCCTCACATCAATAATCTCTCCACAGATAGCTAAGAATGGTCGCCCCAAAATAATGGGCACTTCCTAATCTGCCTCGTAATCAAGAACAATAAAATCAGCAGGAAGAATAAACTTTTCCACTTGAACTAACACATCCTCAATAATTCCTTCTGGCATCACTAGTGACCTATCTGCCAACTGTTTTGTAGCAGGTTTAAGCACCCCCAATCCGAGTTATTTGAACAAAGATAATGGTATCAAATTTATACTAGCCCCTAAATCACACCGGGCTCTACCAACTTCTTATTTTCCAAGAGACAGAGGAATTGTGAGACTCCCAGGACCCTTCAACTTAGGAGCAAGTTTACTCAGAAATCTAGCACTGCACTCTTCAGTAAGTGCAATTGTTTCAAACTCTGTATGTCTTCGCTTGTTTTCCACAATATCTCTAAGATACCTTGCATAGTTGGGCACTTCCTACAAAATTTCCACCAAAGGCAAATTCACATGCACTTGGCTCAAAATATCTAAGAATTTCTTGTACTTAGCATCATCTTTTTGCTTCTACAGTCTTTGTGGAAATGGAGGTGGCGGCCTTGTCATAATTACTGGCTCTGATCCTTTGTTCTCTTTCTCATTCTCCTCAACTGGCTTGGGAACTAATTCCCCTTCATGACTAGCCGTATACTTCTTTTTCTTTGGAACTTCTTCTAATACTATTCCATTTCTCAAAGTAACCACATTGACTTGAGCATTAGGATTAGGCTCAGTATTACTAGGAAGAGCCCCAGCTGGTCGAGTATTTTGAGAACTAGCAAGTTGCCACACTTGTCTCTCTACATTTCTAATCGCTATAGCGTGGGCTGCTGCTTGAGCTTACTGGTTAACCACTAATTTCTTCATCATCTCCTCAAGGTGACTCGTCGCGTTTGTAGGTTGTTCAGCCTGAGGTGGTCTATATTGTTGTTGAGGCGCTTGTGGCCTGTACTGATTCTGAGCACCTTGATTTCCACTCCAAGAAAAGTTTGTGTGGTTCCTCCAGTTAGGATTGTAAGTGTCCCCATACTGATTTGCCTGGCCTCGATTTGCATTACCCACAAAATATACAGACTCTGGATTTGCTGGGTATAGATTGCTCATGTGACCTTCTCCACATACTTCACAAAATATTTGAACCTGTTGCACTGGCCGGGCTTGCTGCTTGTTAATAAACAAGGTCATCCAATTGACTTGGTTGGCCAATATGGCAACCTGTGCTGATAATGCGGAGACGGCATCTAACTCGAGAACCCCTGCATATTTTGCACTGTGTATTTGCCCATCTCTCCTTACCAATTAGGATTGCTTTTGGAGAATTTGTTCAATAATGCATATATCTCTTAGAAGCTTTTCTCCAACACTTGACCTCCCGCTGCAGCATCTACCACAATCTTTGTCTCAGTATGTAGCCCTTCTACGAAAAAGTGAGCTAACACTTCATTTGTCTGATTATGATGAGGACAGTATCTGAGCAGCCCCTTGAACCTCTCCCAAGCTGAGTATAAAGACTCCCCCGGTTTCTGTTTGAAGGCGACTATCTCACTTCTGATCTTTGCAGTTTTGCCTGAAGGGAAGAACCTTGCTAAAAATTTCCTGCCATTCCATGATGTAATAGAATTAGCTGGTTCTACCTTCAGCCATCGCTTTTCTTTGCCCAAAAGAGAGAACGGGAACAGTGTGAGCTTCACATAGTCCTGAGTGACTCTGTTAGTGATACAAGTATCACTAATCTCCAAGAAGTTCAGGATGTGCTATTTGTATCCTCGTGTGGAAGACCCATAAACTGCCCATTCGCATGTAGTAGCTGGATCATGATCTGTTTCAGCTTAAAGTGACTAGTGATTCCGGGCTTCACAATGCTGGAGGTGGCATTAGCAATGCTGGGCATCGCTACCTCCTGAAAAATCATATGTTGCTCCTCTGCCATGTTCACAGGAAATTGACGAGTGCCTGAAGATAATTTGTGTCCCTTGCTTCCCTCAACCTCCTGTGAAATGTTCTCTCAGCTTCGGGGTCAAAGCCTTGAAGTCTATCCTGGCTTCTGACCCTTCGCATTCAATCAAAGTTCTTGAGAGCAGAGCAACAATTAAGAAACGTTAGACTTGACGAAATAAATAATTAAAGCAAAAACTAGAAAGTAGTCAATATTCAAGTCCTCAGCAACGGCGCCAAAAACTTATTGCTCCCAAACGCACATGCGAGTATACGTGGTCGTACAAGTAATAAAATGATAAGTCGAGTGTCGAACCCACCGAGACTTATATTAACTACTCACTAAATTCACCAAGATTGTTATTCAGTCGAGCCAATCCGAGTTCAAAAGTGTGATTATACTAAACAATAATTCTAACTAGTAACTAAATTATCAAGCAGCAAAATGGTTGTTGTATATTCAGTACAGACAAATATTCTAGGGTTGTGATCGATTCACCAATCTTATTGTATTCTAGTTAACTAACCCTTTCATACAATTCACTCATGGTTGTTAATTAATCGAACAATTACTCTCGTAGCCTTCTCCTGAAGTACAACTCGCCTATTCAAAATAGATTAACGCCTATATTCCTATGAAATTAATCTATTAAGAACGCATTAAGATTACGATATTTAATTAAGCACGGTGACTAGGTATATTTCTATCCTAACCACAAATTCGCCCCCCATCAGAGTTAAGATCGCGCTCTCTTCAATTCTTCTCTAATCAAAACATGACTTTCCCAAGCATAACATAGATAGTAAATAGAACCTATCTGATGGCCAGAAAATTAAGCAATTAATCACATATTGAAGAAACAACCATATATTGGTGAATTATACTTAAGGTTAAATCAACGTTAAACAACAATATTCATGGCTAAATCACAACCCCAGAACTATGGGTTTTAGCCACTCATGATAATATCAAACAATTTCATAAGTGTTGGATAATTGAAAATACTAAGAAAAGATGAAGAAAAACTGAGATATCCTCACTCCCCTATGTTTCTCGTGTGTATCTTTTCTTCGAAGTGGCGTCTCCCCTCTCAAAATAGGCTTAGTCTTGCTTTTATACACGTTGGGTAGGTCTAGGGCTGAAATAACCTTGTCCCTGACAAAGTTGGAGAAATTCCTGTCACCAGCGTCCAGGGCAGGGCGCTGGCCTCCTGAACATTCTGTAAACGGCGCCACAAGTGGCGTGGGGCACTGCCTGTGGCGCTGGAATTCAACATTTCCCATTTTCCCTCCGTTTTGGCTCTAATCTCGCACCTTTCGCCCCCTATTGACTTTGGATGATTCCTACACATAAAAACACCACGAATTAATATAAATTAATATATTTTACATCCGAAATCCACGAAACATGAGTAAAACATGAGGCGATATACATAAATATATGATTTTATATATACTTTTAAGATTTTATATTGGATTTTCTTTAATAAATGTAAAAATATTTGGGATCCTCTCATGTGATGTAATATTTAATAAAACTATGAAGTGCATTCATTTTTATTTACTTTAAATAATGGGTTGTATCATTTTCTTATCAAGTGTTATTGAAATGTGTCAATCATCTCTTTGCTCTTTCATATTCAAACGTCAAGATTTCTTATATCTTTTTCGAATTTGAAATGGTATTTCTATAATATAAATTAAATAGAATATATCATTATTTAGGTATCATGTTGATTTTTATATTTAATTATTTAATTCAGCCTTGAAAGCGTACATTTAACGAAAAATTATTGTTAGACGACTAAGAAAATATTTATCATGTATTACTTAAAAAATTCTCCAATTAGAATATTTTAATAGATCATATGTTTGTCAATTTATTCAACTTTTACTAAACATATATTCACTTATCAAAATTTTATCTATAGCTTTAATAAAGTAAGATTGAAATAATATTCACGTAACGAAAAAATCGAAAAACCCGAAAACCCGACAAAACCGAACCAATCCAAACCGATATAATTGGTTTTGTTTGATTTTGATCTAAACCGAACCAACCATATCTACACCCCTACCTAATTGTGACACTCAAAATCATTCAAATTAATAATAGCTAAAAAAAGTGGTAGCTTCATAACTTTGGTATGCTCTTTGATCGACTTAAGAAGATGGATTCTCAATACGACGACTGACGAAGATGGTTAAAGAAAATAATACTCCCTCATTTTCACTTTATACAACATATTTTACTTTTAAATTTGTTTATACAGAAAGACACACTTCCAAATTTCATACAGAGAATGCAAGCGTTATCCGGAATGATTGGGCGTAAAGTGTCTGTAAGTGGCTTTTATTACCACAGATTTTAAACGGTTTACACCTATACAAATATTTTAATATATTTAATATCACAAATTTTAATATTTTCTTAAATTCCGTGTTGATTCAGATTATGAGCCCGTTTGGATTAGCTGATTTGAAGTGGCTGATAAGCATTAGGTGCTGAAAAGCACTTTTAAGTGTTGAAACTGATTTAATAAATAAGCAGTTACGTGTTTTGGTACAAGTGCTGAAATTGATAATAAGTTGTTGCAGTATTTGATAAAAAAGTGCCGATAAGCTCCTTTTCTGTTAAAATGACTTAAATAACCTTAGAACTGTTTACACTTATAAGGGCGTAATTTCTTCAAAATTTTAGATTCCAGATCGATTCAAATACAAAATATTCTATTTGTCATTTTATTTAAATACAATTGTGCTTAGATAAGATCATTTTTATAATAAATATAATTTATTTTATGATAAGCATATAATCATAAGTTATAATAATTAATAACAAATGTTTCTCAGTAAAAAATAAAACTAAATAGGACAAATTATTTGAAGAGAAACAAACATTGTCTTCATCACCACAACACTTAGAAAGCAATATACCAAAAATTTGATATGTTCTCATTATTACATACAGTTCAAAGATTAATATACAATCACATAGATATAAGTATGCAAAGGAATCGAGAATTTGTTTATCTTAAATAGACAATGAAAATTGCAGACTTAAAGAGGTTGGGGGGAGGGGGGAGGTTTAGGTTGAATACTTGAGGCAGTGAGTATCGATGTAGGAGTTTTGTTCTAAAAAGAAATATTTTAAGGATGAAATAGTAAAAATCTTGATCAAACTTAAAGTTCTTATAAGCTAAAAATTCATAAACTGGGGGTGACCAGCTTATTGCTTTTAACTTATTTTTGACTTATAAGCACTTGGCTTATAAGCACTTTTAACTTTACCAAACGCGTAGATAAGCCGAAAAGTGCTTATAAGCTAGTTTGACCAGCTTATAAGCTTAGCCAAACACCCTCTATGTCATATATTGGAACGACGTGATCATTTTTATACTTGTACTATTATTATTTTTTTTAATTTAAAATAACGCAAAATTATATTGGAACGACGTGATCATATTGGAACGAGTAATTAGTTTGGCTTTTTTTTTACTCTGCGTGCTCGTATCTAACTGCCCGTAGTTAATAACTAAATTGTTCATCTATCCCATCCATTTTTAGAATTTATTATCCAAGTCCTTCAAAATAAAATATCATCGCATGCAATCATTGGATTTTTGTAAAATATGTCTTTCTATGCCTGAGAGACCAGGAAACAAAACAAAGAAAACGATAGCAATAATGTAATTTTTGGTGCCTGAATTTCTATCAATTTAGGGGCTCATGAAATAAAAATAATAACTTGATCCAAAAAAAGGTGTCCTTTCCTTCTCTTACTGATAAGGTTTTTCTTTCCTTGCCTCCTTGTGGAGCTGAAGTTGTAACTATTTAACGAAATTTTTTATTTTGTGTCTCATATAACTTATATTAGTTGTATGAGTTATCTTTTTTGTCTCACAGTGTTGTGGACCCAGAATTTTGTGGACCCAGAAGTATAAGATTGGGGTCCACAAATTTATGAGAGAATAAAAAAGCCTCACACAACTAATGTCAGTTGTATGAGGCACACAATAAAACTTCTCCTATTTAACATACAACTTCAATCTCTTGACATTTGCTAGGCTTGTACTTGAAAAAGTACAAGCATTGAAGGCGGATCTACTAAGGAGGAAGGAGGTGGCACGCCACCCGCACACCTCGGTCGAAACGCTCTATGTATATGTACATACTAGTATTAGAGTACGCACTTTGCGCGTGTACCTATATCAATAAATATATAATTTTTAAAATTACGTAAATATTATTAAATTATGTGTTTGAGTTATTGAATACATATTAAAAAATATAAGTTCCTAAAAATAATGAGTCTTAATCTCACCTAAGCTAGTTTTATAAGAAATCATACTTCATGTAAGTCTTTCTATGCCTTATCATGATTTATGAGGAGTGAAATATCTTATGACAACAATTGTTATCTTTGTTATCGAAGACTATAAACAATTAACATAAAAAACACTTTTTGCCATAAATATTCAAAGATAATAAAACAAAATGAAAATTTGAATCTTTTGATCTTTTATAAATTTTAGATTGATGGGGTAGAACTATAGTTCCTAGAAAAATATTGAGAAATAACAATTTAAAGTCTTAAATGACTAATATTGAATTATAAGAAATAATATAATACTATTAAAAAATATAGGAAGCTATCATTTATTTGAATGAATATAAAAAGAAAAAATAATAATGACAATGTCTTTTGGTACCTTTTGTCTTATGTTACACCTTTAATTCTTTAACTTAGCATTTCTAGCTATTTAACTTTTAATACTATAATAAAATAAATTTTGCTCTATTTTTCTATTTCTTTCATGGCTGTTGCTCTTCTTGTAAAAATAAATTTATATACCTTAAGAGTTTTATCAACTTATAAATAATTTTACATACATAGTGATTTTGAAAAAAAATGAATTAATTATTTTTCTAATTTATTAATTCAAAGGCTTAATGATTTGTTGAGATTTCATGCTTTTTAGTATAGAAGATACAAATTATTTTTGAACTTTTTTCCTACTCGAACAATATATTATTCTCTTTATTAATATTTGTAATATTTAAAACTACATTTAGTAATTAAAATATATATTTAGTTCGTACATGATCTCTTACTTTTAATATTACATCTTATTAGAACTAGAAGTTCCCCAATAAGAAGAATGAATGTGAAATATATTTCCATTGAAATTGCCGCCGGATATACAAGGAAAAGAAAACCTACTATTACTCCTATTTCCCCAAATAATATCTATTTTAAACTCCTTAATATTAGGACTTCTTACATAATTCAAATAAGGATAATAATAATTAAAATTTTAATTAATTTTAAAATCCTAAATATTAGGATAATAACTAAATTGCAATTTTGTCTAATTTAAAGTTTATTTTTAAAGGGTAAAAGAGGGGAACAATATTTCTCTAAGGGCCTTCGTGCTTTTAATATAGTATAGATATAGATATAGATGTAGATGTAGTTATATATAAAAGTGTAAATACGAAAAAGAATTATGTTACTGCTTTACGCGTGTACCTATATCGATGAGTATTAAATTTTTAATATTTATGAATATTATTAATTAATGTATATTTGAAATGCAATTGTCGATTGACTTTTTATAAGTTTTTCTAGAATAATTAAATTTTTCCTAATATTTATTATTTAAAATCAACTAAAGTTTTGGCACTTAAATTCTTCATAATTTGAATTATGTAAGAAACTCCTAATATTTAGGTATTTAAAGCCAAATAATAATTTACTCGAATAAATTCTTTCCTTATTTAATTCATAATTAATAATTTATTGTTTTTGGTTAGGTTTCTTACGTCTATAGTTGTTTTTGATTTGTTTAACAGAAAAAGAAAGTGTTAGTTTTAAATTATAGTCTTTAAGCTCACTATAAGTATTTTTTTGGATATATAGAAATTAGAAAAATTAATAGGACGGTATAATAGTTATGTTATGTTATTGAATAAGAAAGTGATTATATAAGGTAAAATTTTAATTGATTTTGACTTCCTAAATTTTAGGACTTCATATTCATTTCAAAATCCTAATATTACGGAACTATCATTAATGACAACTTTGTTCAGTGTGAAATCTATTTTTAAAGGGTAAAAAAGGCGAACGATATTTAGCTTAGGACCTTCGTGCTTTTAATATAGTACTAGTCTCTATGTACGTGCTTTGCACGTAAATATTTAATCAATTTTTTATATGAATCTTTGATATAGCAATTGAATTGAAAAAACGAAGAAGCAAAAATAGTTATAATACTTGAAGT